GCCTTTATTTGCTTCTGGAGTAGGAATGAATTACTTTGGGATGTCATGGCCAAATTTCCAGCTTCATCTCTTTATCGGACCAACCTTACCTTTGGACAGTAAATTGACCAAGATGATTTTGTAGATTTCTTTCAATGCTTAATTGTAGTTTAGTGTCTCAGAGCAGAGGGCTGCGGTTGGGGGAGAGGGATTTGCTTCTGGATTCCCATGAACAATGACGGTCACGGTACTTACTAAATGTGTGTTTTGTTTCATATTGTGACTGGCCATGAATTTGGGGTATAGAATATAGCGCTCGGTAGGATAGTTATCTAGGAGAGGGTGTAGGGGCTCTCTCCATGGGCAAGTTGAGGAGAGGAAAGTGATGGTATGTTGGAAGCTGACCTTCTGGAAGGAGCATGGTATGGCCAGGTGTGCCTGTCAGAGCCAATTGCAAGCATCACAGTGGCCGGGCCCAGGACTAGAGAACTCTGCCGTGGCAGCACCGACTCCTCCCTGCTGGCCCTTTGGGTACAAGCTTTTCGCTTTGTAGGCTTGTTGTTCAGAATCTGGGACCCTCTGTCAGAGGTCTAATTACCTCTCTCGCCAACATTTGGGTACGAGCTTTTCACTTTGCAGGCTTGTTGTTCAGGATCTGAGACCCTCTGTCAGAGGTCTAATTACCTCTCTCTGCTTCTTCTTCAGGCTTGCCACTGCCTTCCCAATTGGTTCTGAATTATTCTTCTCTCACCTCAAACTCCCAGAACTCTAGTATGTGCAAGTGTCCATCCTTTTCCCTTTTTTTTTTTTTTAATTTGTCAGAATATCTGTGCTCAGAGCGAGGCAGAGAGAGTGAGAGACACAGAAAGTGAGAAAGCACCCACCATGGGACATGGTCATGCCACAATCCCTTCTCTTTCATTTTCTCCTCCTTTTGGGATTTTGGGCAAACACACACACACACACACACACACACACACACACACACACACACACACACACACACACGGTGTGCTCTCAAGCCACACGGGTGGGACCCCAATCTCATGGTTGGCCATGTGGGATCTAACTGCCTTTATTGTCAGGCTACAGGCTGGTCCCCCTTTTCCTTGATACTTTCTGGGAGCCCCACTTGCTGTGTGTGCAGGTCGAATGGTCTTGAGGATTATTTATTCAGTATCTAGTTGTGGGTAGCCATGTTCCCTTTGACTCACCTGCCCCAAAACAAAAGTAACTTGTGCCTCCTCTGAGGAGAGACTTGAAGTAAGGAAGAAATAGTTTAGACCTCCAGGAATGTGCCTTTGACTTTGCGCTCCAAAGAGTAGGGGAGGAGGATCATTCCTGCCATGTCCTATAGAAATTGAACCCTCTAAAGAGGCACGTGGAACTAATTTTAGGGAACCCCTGCAATCAGATTTTTTCTCCTGCTTAAGAGTGCAGTGTTTTAGCTGCAATGAAAAGGAAAATCCTTTCATGTGGCCTTTCCTTTGCCTAAGTTCTCTAGTCTTGTCCTCTGAGATTTAATATCCTTTTGATCTTCACAATCCAGTTTTAATTTGGTCAGTTTAGGTTAGGGAAGGATTTTAAAAGACAATGCTTTTCCCTGTCAGGATAATATAATATAGGTAGGAGTCATTGGTCATAGATGTAGTTCAATACATCTGTTTCTTTTTCTTTGCTTGTCAAAGACGCTCTGGGGGCAACAATGTCGGGGCTTGCTATGGTTGTTACAGTTATTGTACAGTTGCTAAGTAAAGCTTCCTATGCTGTAACGAATGCTTGTGCCAGGGCCAATATGTTATATCCCTTGAGTTCCTTTTGATAGGAAGCGTGATTTGTAATTGAAGAGAGCACCTAAGGTCTTTGTGAGTAAATTGATTGTTGTAGTAGGAATATAGATGATTTGGGCCCAAACACATTCTCTTTGTTCAAATGCTTATTTATTTTTGAGAGAGATGCACCCCCAACCAGGTCTTCATGCTGTGATGTACACTCAGCCTCATGCTGTGATGTACGCTCAGCCTCAGCAGCCCTGCATCACCAGCACATGTGTGCTTCTGGCATGCTCAGGGAGGTCCCAGGATGCAAACCCAGGACTGTCTCCATGTGGGTCCAGCTGTGCTACCATTATGCTACTACCACTGCCTGGCCTCCTAGATACATGCTAAGCATATGAAGGGAGCCCACATATAGAGCTGCACATTGTATTGATGGTAGCCTAGGTACTGGACCTAAAGGCTCAAATTAAAAATTCAGTTCTTTAGCCACAGTAGCCACAGTTCTGGTGCTCAATAGCCACATGTGGTCAATGCAGTATGACAATTTAGGCCAAATATTGACGATTTGCTTTGCAAATTGGCTTCCACCTGCTGTCAGTAACGCTCCGTAGTCACATCAATCCAAAACATCTCCCCAAATTCCCAAATGTCTCATCGGGGGGAAAAAAATCACCCCTGATGGAGAATCTCTGGCCTCATGGTTGCAATATTGGACAGTGCATATTGTTCTAGAATAATCTCTAGCAGAATCTGGTTTAGGGGTGTTTCATAGATGAAGGATTTTGAGCTCTAGAGGAATCATGGTGGGCTTACTACCCAGGACTTTTGGCTTATCCTTCACAAAGCCTTGGGAAATGGAGGCACAGAGAGGTTATAGGTGACTTATGGCCACACAGCAAGCATCTAAGTGTCAGTCTAGAGCTCTGGACTTTAAGTGCATGCAGTCTAAAGGATAAACTGCCAATCTTATTTACACTCCCTGTTCTTTCTGAGTTCTTAAACTCAGCAATGGCCCTGGGGGGGGGCGAGGGGGCGGGGAGAAAGTCCTGAGAAAGGTGAGTGACCCAATGCTGAGACTCAGAGATGCAAATTCTGGGCACATCCCTGTTACACCTCCTTAGCCTATGCCTTTCTTTAAGGCCCCACATGTAGCTAGGAAGGGAGGGCTGACTGGGATTTCTGGTGCACTCCCTTCTTGCTGTGAGATAATGCAGCCTCACTGGGTTTCCTAGTTCTGCTAATGTAGAGCAGTTAGGAACACACTCCTGGGGTCATGGAAGACTAATTCTTTTAAATTCCCTTCCTCCCCCCCCACCCCCCTCCCCCGAGGTTTTTGCTATAGGGCGCATGCATGCGCTCTCCAGAAAGACAGAGAGAGAGAAAGGGAGACAGAAAGTGAGAAATCACCCACCAGGGAGGATGGCCATGCTGCAATCCCTTCTCCTCCATTCTCCTCTCAGGTTCTTGGGCACGCACGCACACATGCCTGGCGTGAGTTTAAGCCACTGGGTCTAGGACTTGAACCACGGTCGACTACATGTGAGTCCAGTGACATAGCCATTACGCCAACTGCTGGTCCTCAAATCCCCTCTTTTTGAAGATACAAGATGGGAAGCCCCTCTTTTTTAGCTTTTAAACATACAGTATCTCCTCTGTCTGGGTCCACGTAGTGGCCTATGGGAATGGCTTGAATATGACATACCTGGGGGTTTCTTATCTTCGGAGGTCACAGTGGCCTATGGGAATGGCTTGGATATGAAATACCTGGGGGTTTCTTATCTTCGGAGGTCACATGGAGGCAGAGAATGTGCAGAAGGTTTTGGTAAGAGAAGAGGAGCATGTCCCCATGTAGTGGTGTCCACAGCTGAAAGAGCCAGAAAGTAGGCTTAATTCCGGGGTCTGCTGCAAGGCAGGACTAGAAAGTAGACTGGCCTGCAGCGTGTCCTGGGCTTTTTTAAATTTTTATTTTTGAGAGATTTTTGCTGTAGGACACGTGCACTTGCCGGACGGACAGAGAGAGACAGAGAGACAGAAAGTGTGAAAGCATCTGCTCCCGTGGGTTGGTGGGATGACCATGCTGCAATCCCTTCTCCATTCTCCTCTTGGGATTTTTGGACACACAGGGACACGTGTCTGGTGTGAGTGTAAGCTGCCAGGTCCTGGACTTGAACTGTGGTTGACTATGTGGGAGTCCAGTGATGTAACCATTATGCCATTTGCTGGTCCTGAGTGCCTTGGGCCTTGTGCTCATCATTTGGTCTCTTGCCCCTCTTTCCCATTCATCCTATTCAACTTCACACACCTCCCATGACGTCCTCAATCACTGATTTAGATTTCTCATTCCTCTGCTCCAAAATCTTCAATGGCTCCTTGTTGCCTTTTCACATTGGAGACCTCTTAGTCGTTTACTCCAGGCTCGTATGTTCTCATATGGACATCAGCTCTTTCCCATCTAAGAGTACATACTACTGGGTTGTCAGAAAAGTCACGCATATTTTTCTCTGCAAAAATGTGTCATGTCTTTTCCGACGACCTAATAATTTTCGTGTACTTGAAAGCTTTACTATTATTCTGGTGTGCAGAATTTCTCTGTCAGGGTTGGGGTTGACAGTGGTTGAGGCGTTGTTCAAAGCTGTCTGATGCTTAATAGCTTGTTCAGGGAAAAGGTTGGTTTTTGGTGATACTTTGTTGAGTCAGTAGCCCAGATAACTATTTAAAGTCAGTACACAGCTCAGAAGTCCAAGCCTAGTAAACAGGCCAGAAGGGTGGCAATAAAAGCAGATGAAGAATCGTGTGTACATAAACCCTCGGGTAACCTCGAGCTGTTGACCAGTTGGCTTCTGTCACACTGTGAACTGAGTGAGCTGTGGACAAGGTCAAAGGCCAGTGTTCCGAGGAGCCAGTGGTCAAGTTTAGCTAGAAATAAGCTAATGTGTAAGCGGCCTCCAGGTCTTTTGCAGTTTGCGTCATCTTCCCAACGTTAGTTAAAAGCAGCAGCTTTATCTCAGAGATTGGTGACCAGACTGCAATTGCATCGAACTGTTGATGTTTTCTTTTGGAAAACCAGCCTTTTTGGGTGTCTCCATGGTGAAGGGGAAGGTATTTTTAAAGTTGCCCATGGGGGCAGGTTTTGATTTGAGTGACAGGAGGGCAGGCTGGGCCTGGGAGGACCAAGGTTCTGCCCGTCAGCTTGACCATGGCCGATATTGTTCACTAGTTCTCCCTCTTCTCTTTGCTCTGCAGACCAACGAGTGGAACAAAAATGATGACCGGCTGCTGCAAGCTGTGGAGAATGGGGATGCGGAGAAGGTGGCCTCACTGCTGGGCAAGAAGGGGGCCAGTGCCACCAAGCACGACAGCGAGGGCAAGACCGCGTAAGCTGACAACATTGCTTTCTAGACGTGCTAGTTCTGGGCCCTTAGTGTCCTAGGCATTCTGAGAATCCAGATGTGCTGGTTCTGGAATTCCCAGTATTAGAGGGGAAATTCCATAAGTGCAATATGGCAGGGCTTTGTGAAATCACTGGCCCTCCTCCTCCCACTCAACATGTTAAAATCCGCAAGAGGAGATTTTAATCTAGTTCTTTCCTATTCAAGTTCCAAATTATGTATGGAGCTTTATCTTGAATGACTGCATTTGTCCCAGGGTGTAACCCAAGATTTCACCAGAGAACAAACAGCATCAAGATTGCAACCAATTAGTAGATGGGAAATAAATTCTCTCCTAGATAAGAATAAGATAAACGAGGAAAACATAATCTTTTCCTTAGTCCTCAAACCTTGTTATTTATATTTTTATTACTTTAAAACCTCCCCTAATGTAGATCAGTAATTACAGTAGTAGTGTGTATTTTGCTTTTTGACTTGCCATATATGGTACTCTTGTTGACCATAATTAAAACTGTGTATTTGATTAAGTATTTGCATGTGTTGCTGTGTGAGTATGTGTATTTATTTCTTTATATCCATCCTTAGTTCAGGTGGATATATTAGAAATCTATCTGGCTCCAAGGTCAATAATCTATCTATAGATTTTTAATGCAGAAGTCTTACCACTTATGAGTTACATAATTTTTTTTTTTTTCTGTTTTTTGGGGAGAGGTTTTTGCTATAGGGTGCATGCACTAGCAAGACAGAGACAGACAGAAAGCAAGAAATCACCCCCTCTCTCCCGAGAGGATGACCACGCCACAATCCCTTCTCCTCCGTTCTCCTTTCGGGATCTTGGGCATGCACGCACACACGCCCAGCGTGAGTTTTAAGCCACTGAGTCTGGGACTCGAACCACAGTAGACTACATGAGAGTCCAGCGACATAGCCATTATGCTAACTGCTGGTCCCATGAGTTACATAATTCGTGAACCTCGATTTCCTCACTGTAGAACAGAGATGACTTTACTTAATTGCTAGAGGAGTTACAGATATAACACAAGGTGGTGTTGTAGGTTGGATGCCCTCAGCAGAAGACTTTGAAAGTCCAGTGGTGTTACCATTACCCCATCTGCTGGGCCCCCGAAAAACCCTGTACTCTTTAAGCAACCTCCACCTTCCTCCTGGCAATCTGTCATCTGTTCTGTTCCAGTGGATTTTCCCTTTCTGGATATGTTATATAAATGGGATCATAGAACATGATCGCATCGCCTTCTGTCTCTGGCTTCTCTCAGAGTGGTGTTTTCAAGGTTCACCCATTTTGTAGCATGTATCAGTTTTTCAGTCTGTTTCTTTTAATGGTACAAATGCATACAGCAGCTGTATAAAAGCCGTTGACTCCACTGTACAGATGAAGAAGCTAAGGTCCTCATCACACCACTCTCCCTGAATTAACTCTGGAACCAGTTCTAGCACCTCTGCCTTTGCACTTTGGGTTGACTATTGTTTTCCTCCAGCATCACACAGGTCAAAAGTGAGAAAAATAAATAAAAAAGAGAGGGGGGGAGTAATTATTTTTCAATCTAGGATTTTCCACAAGTAATTTTTCTGCTTTAGATGGTTAAAATTATTCACTGATTACTATAAGAATTTAAGTTTTAGGGACCAGCAGGTGGCGTGGTGGTTAAGGGTGCTGGACTCCCACATGGCCAAGTATGGTTTGAGTCCCAGACCTGGCGGCTTGCTCTCTCACTTTCTCTTTCTCTCTCTCTCTCACTCTATCCCCTTCTGGTCAAATTAAACTAACTAAATAAATAAAGTTAAATAAAATAATTTTTTAAAAAGAATTTAATTTTTTAAAGGCACTACAGAATTAAATCTTATCTGCCTTCATAGTCTCATTTAAATCTGAGGATCTGAGTATTGAGAATGAGGCTGGACTGTGGGATTGGAGAATCTTTCATAGCCCTTCCGCCTCATGTAACAATGCAAGGTCAAGGATTCTGTTGTTCAGTAGACCCCATGCAGTGTTGTCCCCTTCTTACTTTCAGAGAGATTCAGGTTTGGTCTAATCTATGCACGTCTGCTTGGAGATTTTTCCAAAACTGCAGTGGAGACGTCTCTGTCCTTGTTCCTGCTTTTTCCACATGCACTCGGTTTGGTAGCTCATGAACTGTTAACTTCCCAAAAGCAGCTCTAAATCTCTGACAAATGGATGCTGAACTGGAGACCCCTCTGCAGGAGTTCTTGGCTAGGGCATTCCCACAGAGCTTACAGGGATGGATGGCATTAAGAGATGTTTTGTATTTCTCTCTAAAGGGAAAGGCCAGATTACAGTCTTAAAAACTGTGCCCTTGGGCCGGCAGGTGGCATGGTGGTTAAGGTGCTGGACTCCCACATGACTGACCATTGCTTGAGTCCAGACCTGGCAGCTTGCTTTCTCTCTATTTCTGTCTATCAGCAAATTGAATAATAATAAAAAGTAAATAAAATTAAGTAGATAATTCTTTTAAAAAAAAACAAACAAAACAACTGTGCCCTCAGACCAGCTGGTGGTCCGGTGGTGGTTAAGGCCCTGGACTCCCACATGGCCAACTGCGGTCCGGCTCCCAGACCTGATGGCTTGAAACTCATGCCGGTCATGTATGCGTGCAAGCCCAAAATCCCAGGAGGAGAACAAAGAAGAGATTGCATCGTGGCCATTTCCCCCTGGGGGTGATTTGTGACTTTTCTTCTCTCTGTTTCTGTCTCTCTCTCTCTGACAAGTGCATGTGCCCTTTCATAAAAACCTTAAAAAAAAATTCTATCCTTGACAGTGCTTGGCCTCATCTTCTGTCTGGTCATTAAGGCTTACCCTTCGGTTTATTCAACTTCATATTAAAATTAAGCTAGAGGCTGATTTTCTAGAGTGCTTATGTGATAGCCCATTTCTGTAAGTTTGTTCTGAGGCCTACAATTTCCTGATAGTCTAGAGTCCTGATTTTGGCCCTTGAAGTTGTCCCTCTGATCTGACCTTATGTATCCTAATGTTTGTTCTTATATCCCTTCTTCTGGAGACGAGACTTTCCACTCCTGGTCTCCTGCCATGTAAGAATGTCCACAAATTTGCCCAGGTCCTACGACCAATTCAAACTGCCTTTCTTCCTGGTTGTTTGGTCCTTTTTTGACTTTTTATTGATTTAGAACTTGATATATTACACTGTATTGAAAGAACAGGAACAACAACAGAAATGCCTTCATTTTAAGAGAAAAAAAAAATCTCTGTTTCCTCAAAGACTTGGATCTCACACAGCATAGTAAACTCCCTGAGGACAGGATCATATAGCTTTTGTTGTGGTGTTGGTTTTTCCCACTGTTTCCAGCCTAAGGAGGCATTTTGTTGGTATTAGTGACTTTCTAGTTTGATTCTTCTGGAGAAAACATTTTCCTTTTGCCGATACTGTCTCCTGGATACTTATGGGTGAATTAACTTGGGATCCAAGGGGATGAAGAACTATTTTGGTAAATAGCATAACCTGACCCTGTTCACTCAGTTTCAAGAGCTATTAAATAAAGACTCAGCCTTTACTACCGAGAGACCCAGAAGGCCCAGAAAGTCCCAAGAATGTGGCAGTGAAATCAGTCCTCTCCGCAGACATTCTCCAGAAACCTCCAGAGCCCAAGGTCAATAACCAGATGGGTGGCTGGGTCATTCTTTAGGCTTTTCAATTTCTTCCTGGAATACTTTATTTCAGGAAAAGATAAGAAACCATGTCAAAAAATTTTTCTCCACCTAAGGCTGATCAAACAGGGGATAAAAAAAGAAAAGAGAAACAGAAAAAGCAGTTGAAGGACTGGAATTCATTTTGGAGAGTAAAAGAAGGGTGGTGTCTTGGTCGGAAAAGAACAAAATAGAGCAGGCCGAGAGTCAGAGCCCCAGTCTGTGTTTGTGGAGGCAGGTTTGGCCTCTCTCTGCCCCATCTGCTCTCTTTCCATGGGGGCTGTGAGGAAGTGGGAGGATGTCAGTGCCCTGAAACCTCTAACCAGAGGAGACGCTAATTGTTTCAAGATGGGTTCCCCTGCGTTTGGATGTGTGTTTCATTAAAGTTATGTGTGTTTGTCTTAGGAACAACCAGACTAAATAAAACCACTGCCTGGACTCTAGTATTTGAACAAATACCACACGGGCATGTGTGTAGAGACCTAGAAAAGAAAGAAAGAAAAGAGAACAAGAAAGATGTGTGTGTGTGCGCGTGCATGCATGCCGTTTCATGTGGCCCACATTTCAGAAACCTGATCTTTTTGGCTTTGAAAGCTAGGACTTGTGAAAGTATTTTTAGACAACTCTGTAGAGCTCAAATATAAAGTGGGGGAGGTAGTCCTTGAACTTGGCAAATCAGTACAATAAGGGGCTTCGTTGGCTAATGGTATGGTGTACTTTCCCTCTTCCTGTTTCCTCAGAATAGGAATAAAGTAAGATGTCTTATATCAGCAGTTCAGACTTGGAAATCAAGTCATCCCCCTTGATCAGCTTACTCCAGTTCTTCTCACATATGACTGGCAAATTAATGTACCTAAAACCAGAGCTGCATACTGTGGGTCATTGCAGCCTCCTTCCCTCCATGCAGAGTCACCCTACATATTTCCCAAGACCTGTTGATATTTGTCAGAGTGATCACCTGAAAATTATAATTGCTATATCCACTGTGCTTTGGGCCACATGGATTTCTGAAGGTGTTATATCCCTTCATGCCTTGCGAATCTGCCCACATATTTGTGTTTTATTAATCTACTAGTTGGGAGGTACTCTCTATGTCTAAAAAGTTCCAAATTCTATTGTAAGTCGATGCAAAAGGAGGAGAAAATAAAGTATTTTCTGCAGGGTCCATAGCACTACATCCATATCTGGAAAGACAAGACCGGTGACAATGCTGGAAACTAAGTACAAACATTTAAAATATTGACTGTAAGGGAGTCCACAAAGGGGAGAGTGCAGCAGTTAACAAATGCTTCCTGACTCGGTGCAA